TTTGACTCTAGTCAGTTGATAGATCTTATATTGAATTCAGTGAGAAACTTGGAAGACTTACAAACTCCATAAATGTAATTTTTATGGACAGAATGAAGACCTTCTATTTTTTCCTAAGAAAAATAAGAGATTCTGAATGTTTCTATAGTTTAACAAAAACCTACAGTATAATAAAATAATACGGAATCACTGAAAAGTCATTTTACATAGCCATTGTGATTTCATTGTAAGGGGCTGTGCCTACATATGAAATATACTTTAAAATACACATCTGCTAGGGAGTTTCCTTCCATTCTTCTATTTCTCCAGAACAATGGCTATCATTATACAGGAAATCTCAAGAGTCTGTTCAGAAGTATCTGGGCCAGAATGACAAAGGTCACCTTTACTCTGAGAAAAATCATCGAGAAATTTTGTATAACTTTTCAGAAAAAACACTATCAATAATAAAGGGTAACTGTGGAAAAAACAAACAAAACAAAACCAATTCATACAAAGAGAAAGACATTGTCTTTCTATCACCAAACTGTCCATCCCAGGGCTACTCAAAGTGTGGTTTGTTCACTGCCAGTGAGCAATATGTACTACAGATGCTGAGAGTAAGCATTTAGAAAATTCTAAACAATTTGACACAGTAATTTTATGTTTACCTTTGTTTCATTTTTCATTTAATTTTTATTGTATTTCACAGAAATATTGGTCTGCAATGGACTGGAAAAAACCCACTGGTCCTCTTTTCTAGATGGCTTGAAAAGCACTGATCTATACTACTGCTAGTGCCACTACTTCTAGCAGTTCCCATCACTTAGTACCTGCTATGTGCCAGGCATGGTTATATAAGCGCATGATATACATCATTCTCAGAACAACCTGGAAATGTTATTTCCTGTGGCACTGAGGACTGCTTCTCTTTTGGGTCACAGAACGCATGTTAAGGCTTGGGAGCAACCCACAGAGGCCATGTTAAGAAACTAAGATAAAGAAATGTGATCAAAATCACACTTAAGTCATAAAAATCATTCAAAAAAATTTTTTATTGACCATTTACTATGTGCCTAACAAACATTACTTTAGGCCCTTGAGACTTAGTGCTGAGCCTGACAAAAATCTCTAACTTCACAAATCTTATGACCTCACATTCTAGTGGGGGAGATGGGCGATAAACAAGTGAACAAATACATAATTTCAGATAGAGATAACTAAAGTGCTTCGAAGAAAAATAAAGCAGGGTAGAAGATTAGAGCAGGCAGGGAAAAGTTATTTTAGATGCTACGGTTAGGGAAGGCATAGCAGTTAGGAGCACAGGTTCCGGAGTCAGACTGCCTGATTAAATTCCCGGTTCTGCCACATACTAGCTTTATGACCACAGGCAAGTTCTTGAACCACTCGGTGCCTGTTTCCTCATCTACAGAATGAGAAAATAACAGTGCCTGTCTCACAGCATTATTTTGAGTATTAAGTGAGTTATATACAAAGTATTTAGGATAGTACCTGCCACATAGTAAGTGCTTACTAAATATCATTATTGTTTCCTTAGGATGTGGGATTTAAAGAGAGGGAGCCAGCCTTGCAAAGATGTGGGGAAACATTTCAAACAGTTAGTATGCTCACTACTAACTGAAAACTGCAGGTTTGAGTCCAGCCAGAGGTGCCTTGGAAGAAAGGCCTGGTGATCTGCTTCCAAAAAAACCAGCCACTGAAAATTCTATACAGCACAGTTGTACACACATGGGGTTGCCATGAGTAGGAGTCAACTAGATGGTGACTGTTTTTTTTTTTTTTTTTTTTTTTTAATCATTAGATGAGTATATTAGTGTATTTATGAAGATTATGTACTATTTCACCTTTAATCCTCACAATGATCCTGAAATAAACATTATTACTTCCGTTCTACAGATCAAAAAATCCTGAGGTTTAGAAAGGTTAAGTAGCTTGTTTAAGGCCATACAACTAGCTAACAGGTGTTGGTGTTAGGATTTGAACTAATGTCTGTCTGTCAAAAGCCTTACTTTTCCTATGGGTTTATATTACCTTTGCTAGGTAATGGCACAGAAGCTCTCAGAACTAAAATCTCCTGACTTTCACTTCCTTCACTCAAAAAATACTTACTGAATACCTATTAAGTGTCATAGTTAATCAAAGAATATTTTTTAAGTCTCTACTAATGTATAAGTGTTCCGCTGCTAACCAAAAGGTTGGCAGTTCAAATCCGCCAGCTGCTCCTTGGAAACCCTATAGGGCAGTTCTACTCTGTCTTACAAGGTCGCTATGAATCGGAATTGATTAGATGGCAATGGGTCTGGTTTGTTTTTAATGTATAAGATGCTGTCAGAATATAAGGATAAACTTTGTCTTCAAAGAACAGACCAATTTAAATAAGATCATTTAAATAGGGAGATGGTCATCTTACATAAGAGTAATGCCAAATGTTGTACGTCCTACTTTGGTGAGTAGCGTCTGAAGTCTTAAAAGCTTATAAGCAGCCATCTAAGATATATCTACTGGTCCCACCCTGCCTGCAGCAAGGGAGAATGAAGAAAACCAGAGACACAGGGAAAAATTAGTCCAAAGGACTAATGAACCACAACTACCACAGCCTCCACCAGACTGAGTCCAGCAGAACTAGATGGTGCCCGGCTACCACCACCGACTGCTCTGACAGGGATCACAATAGAGGCTCCTGGACAGAGCTGGAGAAAAAAACGTAGAACAAAATTCAAACTCACAAAAAAAAAAAAAAAAACAGACTTACTGGTCTGACAGAGACTGGAGAAACCCCAAGAGTATGGCCCCCGGACACCGTTTAAACTCAGTACTGAAGTCATTTCTGAGGTTCGCCCTTCAGCTAAAGATTAGACGGGCCCATAAACAAACGATAACACATGTAGGTCAACCATGTATATGAGTTAAATGGGCACACCAGCCCAGAGACAAGGGTGAGGAGGCAGGAGGGGATAGGAAAGCTGGTAATGAGGAAACCAAGGTCAAGAAGGGGAGAATGCTGACGCACTGCAAGGTTGTCAAATAGTGTCACAAAACAATACGTGTATTAATTGTTTAATGAGAAACTAATTTGTTCTGTAAACTTTCACCTAAAGCACACACACACACAAAAAAGCCAAATGGATTGCAGAGACTAGAGGTACTATAGGAGTGTCTCAGTTTCTTAGTGCTGCTGTAACAGAAATACAAGTGGGTGGCTTTAATGAACAGAATTTATCTTCTCACCGTTTAGGAGGCTGGAAGCCTGAATCCAGGGCGCTAGCTCTCTTTCTGCTCTGGGAAAAAATCCTTGTCTCAGCTTCTCTAGTGTTCTTCTTGGAGATTGCCACATGGCATCTATCTTTTCCCCATCCATGCTTGCTTGTCTCTGTGCCTAATCTGCTCTTCATATCTCAAAAGTGGTTAGGTTTAAGACACACCCTACACTGATGTCACCTCATTAACATAACATTATCTCCACAGTATAGCGGTCAGGATTTACAACACTTATTTTTAGGTGACACAATTCAGTCCATAACAGGGAGTTCAGGTGAGGAAGCCCATGTGCACAGAGGCCAATGAAGAAAGAAGCCTAGCTCCGGAGAGGGTCTGAAGAGAATACTGGGAGGTAAACTTAAAAGGCAGGCTGAAAGATCCCTGGGTGTTATAAATGGTTTGCACTTGGCTGGTAACCAAAATTTTGGTGGTTCCAACCAACCCAGTGGCACCGTGGAAGAAACAGGCCTGGTGATCTGCTTCTGTAGAGATTACAGCCAAGAAAACCCTATAGAGCAGTTCTACTCTACAACACATGGGTTCTCTCCAAAGTCACAAACCAACAACAAAAACAAAATCAATAACAATACAAAGCAGGCTGAGAGCAAAATCATAAAACACTTCGCCTGCAGAGTGGGGAAGCACTAGCGGCTTCTACAGAGTATTTTAGAAAGGAGAATCACTAGCGCCTGGTCCAGACTGGAGAAGGGAAAGAGCAGAGGCTGAGATGCGAAAGCATTCCAGGGTCCGGCCTGGAACTGGAAAGGGCCTCAGAGAGCAGCCAGGTTAACTGTCCTGTCCACGTGGAAATACACCTACAGTATCTTGGGTGGAATGGAGATTTATGTAATACCTTAGATATAAATGCATGAGAGCAATGCAGTAGGAGCAGAAAAGAAAGGACAAATCAAGAGGAACTATAAAAGACCTGGAAACTGCCCAGATTAGAGTGTCATGGGAGCAAATGGGACATGAATGCACATCACAGTACCAGGAAGTTTAACACGGAAGACTGACCCTTCACCATGCTGTTGTTTTTGGTTTCTCATTAGTTTTACAAAATTTGGAAAAATGAGATGAGCATTCTATAATGGATACCTTGTAATTCATAAACAAAGACCATGGACTGATGTTATTCAAAATGGCTCCTAATTAGAAATCCTTAACGATCAAAAGGCAGCTTGAAAGCAAGGCAAGACACTTAATGCGTCTGTAAGACTCCAGGGCTGCCAGTATGTGTTTTATGCCCTATTTACTGGCCATTGCTACAGACTCTCTTTTTCCCATTTATAAAGCAGCTGCCCTGAACAAAGCCCTGCCCTCAAGGAAAGGCACACCGCGGCATGGGCCTGACATAAAAGGTTTGATATCCACAGTGACTTCCTTTGAACTGTCTACAGGATTTTCTCTCACACAAGCAGAGACTTAAGACATTATTTCAAGAAAATAAGATCTGAACAGTATTGCCAATCTCCGTAAATGCTGGGTGCTTGCTTCTAAACTCCAGCACTTAAATAAACGGCCACCACTCACTAGCTGGATTATTTTTCTGGAGTTGCTGACAACTTTGTAAGAAACTTTCTTTTAAGTTCACTAAATACAGAAGGCAAAGAATGAGATTCCAGGTCTATAAATGGCTCTATCACTGCATGATTCTGGCCATCTTGGAGGAAGCCCCTGCCTTCTGCAGGCTCGGTGTCTCTGGGACCATCCTGGGGAAGGCAGGCCTGCTGGTTCCTTACCTTCTTCAGCAATGACCGTCAGTGTGACGGTGACACCGGCATCTTTGATCAGCTGAACAATGTTGTCATGGGACAGGTCAATAATAGACTGCCCATTAACTGCAGAGATCTGATCTCCAACCTTCAGTTTTCCACAGCGACCAGCAGGACTTCCTTCTATGACTCGACCAATCTTATGAGGAATAACTATGAGAAAAAAACCCAGGTTTTCCAAATTACTTAAGAGATCTGCTAGTGTTAGAGTTATCATCATCATCAACATCATAAATTCAACATCGTAACATCAAAGAAAATTCTTAAAAAATACACCAAAAAAGCTCCACACATGATCATTCTATCAAGATTCATAACCCTCCTTTATAATAATCATTGGGATCCTCCTGCTCATCATCATCGGATCCCAGGATCTCCTCTTCCTGCTCTGGTAGATCACTCTCAGAGTGGGGAGCAGAACCTCGATGCTGAGTTTCAGACTTCCTTTGGGCTTTGTCCTTCTTGACCTTGGTTCTTTTATTTTGGGCCTGGAGTGCAAGCACTTTCCGCTCCATGGCGAGACCGGTGACCACCGGGTGCCTGCACACTCAAGTGGCAGTCATGTTACCTTTCACTTATTGCCCACATACATACATACTCTTTACATAGTTAGAATCATAGCATATAAATCTCTTTGCTGTTTTTCACTTACCAAAAACCTCTTCCCAATATTTATGTGGTCATCTCAATTATCCTGTTTAAGGGCTACTGAGCACACAGACACTGAAAGTATCTCACTAATTTGATGTGTCATGGTTTGTTGTTGGTCATTTAGGCGGTATCAAGTTTTTAGCCATTTTAGAAACTGCTACAATGAGATCATCTTTGGTTCTATTGAAGAATCTCCTTAGCATAATGTCTGCTTGACTTTTGAAGGGGCACTTATTCCCACAAGGAACCTTGTAAATAAATGCAGTTGAAGTTCAAGTTTAGGACTTGGTCAGAACTCCAAGTACAGTGAAATGACTGACCATTAAAACGCATCATACTTAGTCCTGTGTGGAAATAGTTCCTTTTATTTATGATTTTGGTCTTTTTGAATCAGAAAAGCTGAGTGGAATTGGAATGTTAAATGTTTCAAGTGAAGACTCTTTGGCTCATGGATACAATCCTACCTTCAACGCAAAAGCTGCGTCTAATACATTTGCAGAGACACTCCTTGCAGTACTACTGTATCTCGAGCTCATAATGCTAGAGGCTTTCCTAGACAAACTATTAAGAAATTTTGCTTTTATTATGATTTAAAATGAGTTCTTAGACATACAGGAAATCTTGCCAAAATATCTTCTATTGGGCAATAAGGGGCATCTGTATTAAGAAACAAATGTTCCTTCTTGTTTGCTGAGAATTTCCTAGGCTGGGTCAGGAAATTTATCAGGCACTTGTACTCCTGCTGACTACTGATTGTTATGAATAGGGATAATTAATATTTTTAAATGGCACTGTGAATGGTGTTTAATTTCCACAGTAAAATGGGCTTCTTAGTAGTGTTTCTGAGTCATATCTAGGTGTGTTACATTTTACTAGGCCTTCATTTGGACTGGAAAAGTTATTCTTGGCCATGATTTATGTTCCCATAGACAGTGCCATTTCTTGGCTCTTCCAGGATTATACAGTGAGAGATTTTATCTTAAAATAGAGGAAGTCAATGTTAGAAGCAAGTGCTATTTAGCTCTGAATTATATCAAGCACTTATTATACCACTTTCCTTACAAGCAAAGTAATTAGAAAAATGCCAGTGCAGTATGGGCTGCGTGCTCTGCCAAGAATTCTGAGTAGATTCTCTAATGGTACAACAGGTGGCACATCAGAAACATACGGTGAGTCACATGGTGGCCCTGTGGTGGCCTTCTAAATCAATACCTTGGTTATTCTTCTTAGAAAAGAGTTACTTGTAGATAGTGTTCATTCTAGATTCCCTGAGAAGAAAATCATTCAGCACCTTGGCACACTCAAAGGGGTTTGTTCAGACTTGAGAAAGTATCAAATAGAATTAATCTCTGAAGTCTTGGTGGTCTCCTTTCTCATCATGTGGGCAATGCTGTAATAAGGAATTGGCAAATCTTGGTACAAAACTTCCTGAAGGGTTGGTCGTCTGGGTAAGGGAAGGTAAAAGTAGTCGGATTGTTACTGTCTTCATTGGCATTTATAGCAGTGGCACCAAAACAGTTAAAAATAGTAAACAGATCAGCAAAAAGGTAACTTCTGAACATTCTCTGGATGCAGTGGGAAGTTTTCAAGGTAACTCCTTGTACTACACATACCTAAGAAGTCTGAAGTCCTGCCTTGCTTTGTTGGAGTACAAAGCCTACAGGCATTTGTTATAAGGATACCTTAACAGTCTTCATTCATTTTTGGCCTCAATTTGTCTCACAGCCTGGCTTGTCCAGCTGCTGACATCACTTCAGTTCCTTTTAACATTTATTTTCCAGGAAACAAGGGACACTAACTAGAAGTGTCCTCTTCTCAAAGAAATCCTTTGAAACCAGAACTAAAAAGCATATGAAAGAGCAACACTAAAAGTTCTCAAGTACCGGCAAACCCAAAACTAGCTAAGTCCTTTTCATCTTAAATAGAGGCCTTTTCTAAGTACTCCATTGATTCAGCACTTATAACAAACTAGGTCCAAGGTAGTGAGGCTGCTAGGCCTGCATCCCTGGTATTGAAAAAGTCAACAGTAGAGATTCTCAGAATTTTATAACTGGTACCAGAGATGCTACTAGAAACTTTCCTTGTGACAAATGTTACCAGAAAATACCATTTAATCAGAAGAAAAAACAAAAAAAATCTACGCTGAGCAGCATTCAGAGATAAGGTCCATAATGAATGATCTATTCTGACTGACACGTTTCTTGCTGTTTCCCTTATGCTAACTCTTCTAAACCAAACCTTCTCTGTTACACAGTTGGCAGCATATTGCTCAGTGTCTGTTCATCCAGTCTCACTCCAGGACATTTCCTTCTATATGCAAGAGATGGATGGAGTTCCAGGAAGAATGCTTCAGGGCTCAGCATTTACTGAGATTATTAACTAGCTTTTCAGTGAAATTATCAATTCTGGTTTCGCACCATGACTGAAAATCTCAAGTACCTTATATAAAATTCATCAACAATCTAAGCCTAATTTACCATGCAGGCTGATAATTAATGAACTGCAACACTCATTTCCTGCCACACATTAGCTGTTGCCTCAATCTTACATGTTAATTGGGCTTTCTTTCCTATCTTGTTACTCAAGTATTGATAAACTTTCCTTTTAAAAAAAAGGCCAAGAGACAGTGGCAAACAGTTTTCTAAATAATAATGATGATAACAATAGCAGCAGCAGCAACTACAATAGCAGCTAACTTTTATTTGAAAGTCCAGGCTAAGGGGTTCACAAGCATTATCTCCTTTAATCCTCACACTCAATATGACACAGGGAGTATTATCAATATCCCCTTTTTACAGAGGAAGCTGGAGCTCTTGCAGGGCAAATAATTTGCCCAAGATAAGACAGCTGTTAAAAGACATAATTGGGGTTTGAATCCAAGGTTGTCTGAGTATAAAGTCCAACACCTAATGACACTATCTTATATGGAAATCTAGTATCTACAGTAGGTGAAACCATCAACATAGTAAAACATTACTTAAACAAATAAACACAAAGACCATATACATATATTTAAATAATTCACCTTATTTTAGTCAATTTCTCCATACTGCTTTGTTTTATGGTGAACACTGGACTCTAATTTTTGTAGTGCAAGAAAACAAATATCTTGAATATAAAAAGTGGTTAGGATCTATCACACTGAGTAATAATCTTTCACTTTTTTGTTAATCTGAATGCCTGGTATTATTGTATGGCATTAGAATGACAATATGATTATCCAAAATGTTTGTTTTTGGAAATACTGATTTCCAATGATACAACATGAAACCCACCTAAAAGCTGCTTTCTTTCATTTTCCTGACATAGGCCACATAATCATCCACACAGCATCAGTGACAGTTCCCGTTTCAAGTGTTACCATAGCAACTGCTTTTGGAAAATGGAAACTAGTATCATGAGCAGTGACCTGATACTATAGTAATAATTCATCCATGTCATACAATCTTCTTGCTTTACACATCTGCATTAATTTTAGCAAGATTTTTGCAAATTGGTTTGGTTGACAACACTTTCTCGAAAGTGTCCTTTTTTTACTAAGATTTTAGTGGCCTTCTTGTCTAAAAAGACCTCACTACCCAAGAGATAATCAAAACCATTGGCAAAGGCAACAGCACATTTCTATGTTATCAAAGATTTTGATCATTTGACTTGGGAAAAAAAGCTTACCAGATAAGCATAATATACAAATATCAATTTGTCAATTTTCATTTTATATTCATTTGGATTTAATAATTATATTTAAAGATTATTATTTCTTACAAATATCAAACAAGACAAATATTTAATTTGCTGAATCATAACAGCCCTGAACATACTAAAAGCAATTCCTCCTTTGTTGAGGGAATACATACATGCATTCATTCTTCCCAGATGAGAATATTCTGTTAAACTCATTCAGGATATTTAGATTAATTTTCAAAGGTTTTGATTAAGTTTCTTACCTTTGAATAAAAGGTTAGGAATGTCTCTTATCATTTAACAAGGGCGCTTCAGAGCTAGTATATGGTAATTACTATTAAATAACATGAGAGAACAATTTAAGACACATTTGGGTCAAGATTTTTCTGTTAATCTGGTTTGCTTCTTCTCAATTATTTCTAGCATTTAATTCATTTCTGCATACACAATGTCTCCTAATTTAAAAAACCTATGCCCCCATATTAAAACAAACAAACAAACAAACAAACAAAACCAGCACTGGATCTTTCACTGTGTCTATTAAGGTACGTCCCTGATATACATGGTACTGCCGCAGTATAATCTTGATTCAAACTGAGCTAATGAGACTTATTTTATGGAATCTGAGATGACAGATGAACCCAAAGCCTGGAAAAGTTTGATGTGAATTACCTGATTTTGAAAATCAGGAAAATATTCACCATTCTTAAAAAGATAAGTCTCTAGGATAATTTATATATAGTTCCTAATCCATTTCATAAGCTCCAATGGGAGACTCAGAAAACTGGAATGGCAGGGATGGACAACAGGATATAGCAGTCCTTACCTCCTGGAGGTGGCTTGGTTTTGGAGGTGAGGATGACAAAGCCAAATCCTTCATTCTCTTTTCTTTGCAGGACAACGTCATAGGCTTCCTGGGGAGTCGGCCTGGCTGGGACCTCTGTTCGGGTCAGGCGGGGAGATCCATTCTGTGTTGAAATGAAGGCTTGAGAGTTGTCGTCCTCAGGTTGTTTCTCTAGAATAAACACGATCAGTTTTGATATTTCTGGAACATCATTAATTTTAGGTAACTAAAGTATTTTTGCGCTAAGCCTCTCATAAGAAAATTTAGTTTCTAATAACATAAAAAATAGAAAAGCAGTCCCTCCTGCAAACTCTGGATAGTCTGAGTGCAGATGTAGGCAGCAGCAGACACTTCCTAAATCCTCTTAAAGTATAAAGTTGGAAAAATACATGTAATCTAACGTTATCTCACTTACAGGAAGTTTTTCAAAGTTTCCATGAGATTTGATAGTAAAAAAATTCTTGAAATTATTTTAGTTCCACCAAAGTTTTTAACCTTGACCAGTAATTTCAACAAAAGTAGAGAATGAGGACTGACACGGTAAACTTCCTTTTAAAATCAACTTTAAATATAAATTAGGGCAGTGACTTATGTTCACTGACATCTGGGAGGTTGCTGCATCAGAGCAGAGATACTGCATGGTTACAGGTTGGGAGCAGTTTGCCATCTGTGCAGGAGTTGTCTGAAACCATGTGTTTTACAGTTACAGTTTCCTGATCAGTGATATCAGATGAGCTGATCATTGGCAGTTCTCAGTCTTTTTTTTCCCCTCCTGCTGGGACACCAACAAGTTGTCCACATGAGCAGCAAAATCTCCTGGGTATAGACAAGGTCATATGGAACCCCCAGCAAGTGGGCAGTTAGCCTACACCTTTTTCTCCTGTTCAAGAATAACATCAGAATTTGAGAAAGACTAACACAAGTTAGTTCTAGCTGATCGGGGGTGGAAAAAAAAGCATAGTTTGTGCCTTAATTTGGTACAAACCATCATTATCAACAACCAAAACACACTGCATTCAAGAAATATGCATTTATAAGGTCTCTTTTGGATTATAATCTCAAAAAAAAAAAAATAGCAGCAACATTCAATCATTAAAGAAATTCATGGTTAGAATGAATTAGCTAAAATATCTCCAATCATACCACCATAAAAGATCTTTCTTCTGACGGTTAGTAACACGTGGCCATTTCGAGCAGCAGTCGTCATTAGGTCCAAGACTTGTTTATGTGACTTCCCTTTAACGGGAATTCCATCAATGCACATCAGTTCATCAGCAGCACGGAGCCGACCATCTTTCTCAGCTGCGCCCAGAGGGATGATGGCCCCGATATATATCTAATAAGATAACACAGTGTAAGTTGGTCTAGGCAGTCTACTAAGATCAACTGAAAGTTAAGGACTTCCTGACTCTGAGTACTATGCACAGCAGCAGATTATTGCAGTCAATTATGAAAACAGTCATATTTTAGAAAGGTGGTATCTTAGAAAGTGACCATTCTCCAAAATGGCACCTCAGATAACCACTATACTATGTTATCCCTTCTGGATTCTCAAAAATAAGTACAAAGAAGACAGAAAATGCAGAGTTGTTCAGGAATTTAAAAAGCCCTACCATCACCTCCACCATCACCAAACAAAAACATTAAACTTGGAAAATGCAATTTTGTAGAGTAGCTACTAAAAGTGAAAAAGTCTGTTCAATGCCATCAGGAAAGGTTTCCTACACACTCTTTGACATTTAAGAGAAACGAAAGGTTTCTCCCAAGTTGTTTCAGATAAATTCTTAAAATGTCTAAGTGAACACTATGAATATCAGCACAATAAGAAGCAATAAAATAAAAACAAACAAACCACCAAGAACTATCAAAGTATCTTACAGTTGCCCTATATAAGGCAATGTGCCATAAGCTTTATTTGTCTTGGATGATTGTTGTAATTATAGCCAATATGACTAATTAGATGTCATCAATTCTACGAAAATTAAATGTGCTATTTAGAAATAGAAAGAGGACTGTCATTTAAAAAAAAGAATACTGATATTCACTGAATTTTCAAGCTGATAACAATGTAGTCTTTTTTTATATTATACAAAAAAAAATGTAAATATGTTCTTAAAATCTACAAAGCATATTACTTCTTTGTCAATCAAATTAAGAGCAAAACTTAAAAACAAGCCAATTACATTTGTTCTCTAAACTAACTTTATGTGAGAATCATGTACAAATAAAATTCTAGGCTTTAAATGCTTTGCAAATATAACCCTTACGCTTTCTGGGCAGAAACATTAATTATTTTATATTCCTCTAGTTTCATAGGTAACAGATAAATGACATGCAAAGTATTGAACATGAAAATCTTGCCTCATTAATAAGATTAGGTGACATAATATTCACAGGCACATGCCAACTGTTTATGGAGCATTCAGAACACAGAGTAATTGTGGTAAAGAGGATTTTAGATTATAGGTTTCTTAGAGAAGGAACATGCCTTATAATCTGTTTTAGCAAAGGCAAAAAGAAATAACTTAAAATCAATTTCAGGCACACAGAGAAGAAAAGACATTAATTGCTGTGCAATTTACAGCTTGCATAGTCAGTTTTTACTGCAGTTTTTACCGACAGCTCTTAATTTTAGCTACACCAAGTTAGGAGACCTTGTGGTGCAGTGGTTAAGAGCTTGGCTGCTAAGCAAAAAGTTGGCAGTTTGAATCTACCAGGCGATCCTTGGAAACCTTGTGGGGCAGTTCTACTCTGTCCTACAGGGTTGCAATGTGTCGGAATCGACTCGACAGCAACGGGTTTCATTTTTTGGTTACACCAAGTTAAATGAGAGCTATGATACTAATAGAAAAGCAGCTCTTCCTCATACTGATGAAACTGTGAGAAACAAAACAAAAATGCCACATCTCACCGAAGCACCACTCCAAAGTTTTAGCAGGAAGAGCCAAATTCCATAAAATTTAAACTTACAGACTGGTCAGGTCCATCTCCTCCTAGCACCCTGAAGCCAAACCCGGATTCCTGTTTCCGAAGAAAAACATCCAAATCTTTGGTGTTTGGTGCTAAGTAAAATCAGAAAATATAAAATAAACACTTTGATTTACTTTAATCAGATTAAAAGAAAACAAAGTTTCAGTATTTTGAAGGACAATATTATAGAGTAGTTCAATAAACTATAATCTCAGAACTCTTTGCTATGTGAAAGTTTACACTACAGAATAACACTACCAAAAAAAAAAAAAAAAATCAACCACTGATTCTTGTTTTCAGCTCTAAACAAGATTGCTTAGGAATATTTACCTCTACTTCCATGCCCTCAGTAATGTGCTGCCATTAACTTCTAATGCTTTCAAGTCAGTATTACAATATTAACTTCAGAATTATTCAGTTTAAGTTTGGGATCTGATAGGCACAAATTATCTAAGTTAACATTGGGTAAGGCACTTTAAATCCTAGGAAAAGAAAGGCCATAAAATGCCTTTGTTCTACTCCTAAACTAATAACCTTTCCTCAGAAAAGCATCCCCTATGAAATACTTACTTGGCCTAATTTTGCAAGATGATACTATTTTTTAAGGGGAAACAAATAATAGCTAACACCTATTATTAGTCCCGTTTTGTAGCCAAGGAAACTGAGGCTTAAGTAACTTGCCCAATGTCATGCAGTAAGTAAATGGCTGCGCTGAGACTTAAACCCAGCTCGATTTCCAGGGACCAGGCTCTTAATCCACACTATCATGCCTCCAAAGGGCAGGTTGCATTCATGAGAATATTAAGTCAGAAAATCTACCTCATGACAAAAATTTTATCTCTGGGAAAATATTAATGTTAATTACAAGTAAGAAATATTTCACTAGAAAAAGAAAAGGAAGAAACATGTAAACTATATAAAAAGTAAGTGATACATGGTAAATTCCTGATAATGTTCATTAGAAGCAATTTCTTTTGATAAACGCTTTTGATTAGAATCATAGAACTTTAGTCCAAGTCACTTATTTTATGGGTGAGGCCCAAAGGGACTGCACAGTTCACACTAAGAAAGTGTCAAGCTATGCACGGGAAGTCTGAAGAAACAGATTCACCGTAGGTTATACTAAATTAAATCACTACTATGCTTACACCTGGTTTTCATTTTTCTAAATTTGGCCTGGGCACATCAAGATAAAGATCTGCAATTGGTTAAATAAGCATGAAGTCAATTATATATATTTTCATCTGTATACATCTTTCCAAGGTAGATTTATATCTATTTCTTAAAAACAAACAAATTAAAAACAAAAACAAACCAAAACATCAAACCTATTTAAATCTGCAAAAAGATTTATCATTAGTAAATAAATTTCTATGAAAATGAATTTCTGCCTTCTACACTCTCTTCTCATCATCTCTCAGCTGGATTCCTCTAAAGAATTTACTCTTTGGTCTCCTTGCCTCCAATTGCACAACCCCCCGATTCATCCTTCATACTCCTGCCAGGAAAATCTTTCTAAAGCACAAGTCCAATAATATTTTCCCTGTAGGTAAAACCATTCAGTGGCTCACCATCATTTATCTTACCAACTCCAGCTTCCTCAGACTGCCATAATCAGCCCTTCACAATCTGTTCCTGCTCTCCTCTCTGGCTTCCTTGCCAATCATACCCAGCCAAACTGGACTACTTGCAGAACACAAGCCATGCAAGGTCAACGTGTAGATGCTATTGCTTCTCTCTTTCTCTGTTGTCTTCCTCATAAACACCTGTTCATCTTTGAAGACTTGGTTAAATCTTTACTTCCTGTTTGAAGCTTTACCTGACACTTCCTACTAGCCACATTCCTACTTTGGATCCCAATTTATCTAGTCCATCCTTCCATCACTGTACCTATTAAGCTAATTTGCATTTATTTATATACTTATTGATTACATATTTGTCTTTTCTATGTAGGTTTAATAAACACTTTTGGGTGCAAGGCCTATACATCCTATTCATTTATGAATATTCCAATTACCTAATATTGTGTCTGGTAGACAGCTGGCACTTAATACATGTTTTTGAAAAAATTAAACGAATGAATGCTAAATGCAAATGGAAGAAGCCCAGAGTTATACTGAAATGGGAATGAAGGAATCACTTTTCAGTAGGGTTTTGAAAGATGAGAAGGTCCCAGTTTAAAAAGTAATCCAAATTTATCTTGTTACACGCTCTCCTGAAATATTCCACAACTACTTACGTTTATCTTCATATAAAGTCTTAGATTTCAGGTAGACCTCAGAAGGATCCAATTTCGGGGATCCTGACCTGATAATGCTGGGTGGAAAAGGCATAGGCTGGGGAACAGGCTCATTTATGGCCTCCAAACTTCCTGAATTTTCCTTTTTATCTGTTTTCTGAAATGGAAAAGGGCCTTACTTAGTATTTTAAAAAAGCAGATGCTTGATTAGTTCATAAAACTACTGACTGAACCATGTACATCAACTGATTACAGTTGTTTAGGTGGCAAGGTCTGAGCCACAGCAATTTTGTAGTCTTAGAGGAATCCACGTTCACAGCCATGTGTATTTGGTTAAAACATATTTAACTTAAATTAGAAAAATGTTTATAATGATGTCAACTGAAGGGGCCTTAATTAGTCCTATGTTTAAGCCATCTTGCCCTTTTCTCCATCACCAGGATACAAATTGACTTTGAGAAGATAAACGGGAATGCAAAACAAGATAGCACTTGTAAATAAAGCAAGAGGAAGACCAAGAGGACAGAATACTTTCATAAAATTCTTGATAAGCCCCACCTTCCCACTCACTGAATTTCATTTCCAGTGAAGATGTTTAAAGCAATATTTTTTCTAAGAAAATGGAATAGGAAGTGTTAATTCTAAGTTATAAAGATGACACTGTGAGAACCCTGCTTGGCCAATTCAAATATATTAAGGCAAATGTACCATGCCAGGCAATCAGATAACAGAAAACAGAGTAGCATAGTCTGATATTTTTCCTATTCAGATAGAACTTTCCCAAAATAAGTTAAATAAAATGACTCCTTTAACAAAGTTTTAAAAATGAAATTCAATAATTAACTCTAAGAAAATAAAATACGGTAACTTGGCCTCTCCTTTTTCCCTACCAAAACATTTTTTGAGAAAAGCTTGCTATCCTGAATTAGGAGAGGGAGATTGTAGACATTTGTGATAAAACAATTAAAGCTGGCTACAGCACAGAAGCAGCAGCTTGTCAGGGGGCAGCGAGGGGGCAGTCACTACAAAATATTGGGCCAGGGGGGTTCCTTCACTGCCCCAGATCCAGTCAGATAGCAGAAAAGGTTAAGAGCAGCCCCTTCCCCTTTCTCCACAAGTCCTAGGATCCTTCCAGAAACAGAGGTCATCAGAGCCTTCTATCAATTATAAAGCATTAGGCTCACCATGGCTACACTGGCATCCATTATGAAACAGATACAGAGGCAGAGGGATTAAAAAATGATTACTAGGGAACCACAGAAATGACGAAAATACAGTGCAGTTGTAACTGAATGGGGAAAAAAGAATTTTTGTTCACATTGGACCTACGTAGTACCAACAGTTCTGTAAAAGGGCAGAAGCCAAGTATCTGGCTCTCTCCTTTTGATCCATAAAACAACAAATTTGTAGACGATGGTGGGCTAGAAAGAATTAATCCATCTGATATCTGATGGTCTTTTCCTTTAATAACCGATGGTTCATGGTTATGGGAGACCAGTTCTGAATTGTGAGATGAATGACTCCAAAGCAAGCAAACTGAACTAAATTAGGATTTCATTTATAATTGTCTTTATAGTCCACATCCACGTAACTGTGGATATTTAAATAGCCACATGTGTGCCTAGTGCTTCTTCCACAGTAATATTATTTGGTACCTTCTTTTTTTAGTTCTTATTCTCTGTGCTCTTGTTGTGCACCATTGAGTCAATTCTGACTAACAGCAACCCTATATGACAGAGCAGAACTGCCCCATAGGGTATCCTAGGCTGTAATTTTTACGGGAGCGGATTGCCAGGTCTTTTCTCCCACCGAGCGGCTGGTGGATTCAAACTGCTTACCTTTTGGTTAGCAGCTGAGTGCTTAACCATAGCGCCATCAGGACTCCTTTTAGGCTACTCAGTTATTCAGGAGAATGCCAAAGATGATATTGTCTCAGGTTTCATAGCCTACTTTTTTTTTTAATTTTTTATATTTTTTCCATACAAAAGTTTATACATACATTGTTATGTGACTCTAACCGCTCTCCCCATACTGTGACAGCATACTCCTTCTTTCCACCTCTGATTCCCCATGTCCATTCAGCCAGCTCCTAACACTCTCTGCCTTCCCATCTCACCTCTATACAGAAGCTGTCTGTTTAGTCTCTTGTATCTACTTGAGTTAAGAGGTACACTCCTCACAAGTATCCCTTTATGTCCCACAGTCCAGTCCAATCCTTGTCTGAAGAGTTGGCCTCAGAAACTGTTTTAGTTCTGGGCTGATACAGA